TTGGGCACAGTCTTGATCTTTTGAGGATGGAGAGACAGAGTCATGTTTAGCATATTGGACTGGGAAGACCAGAGTTCAGATCCCTATTCTGCCATGAAGTTTATTGGGTGACCTTGGGCCATGCACTGTCTTGCAGCCAAACCTACCTCCCAAGGTTGTTGTAAGGGTGAAATATAAAACACTGAATTTTTTTGAGGAAGGACAGGATAAAAGTAGAATAAAAAAGGGAGACAGGCACTGGGTGAATTTCCACCACTGAATTGTTTCACATGTAGAGACAGTCTCAGTTTAAGCTCCATATAAAGAGCTAGGATTCATTAGCTGAATGAACATTTATTTTAAAGATCTTTTTAAACTAAAGAAGATTACAGATGGTAGTTGAGTAGAGTAAACCAGCCACAAACAAACGTAGGGTGTGGATCATTGTCCATTCATCGCTTCAGGGGGGAAAAAAAACTTATTGTGCTGTAAATGGTCAGACCAGAGTTCCCAGTCAGACATAATATATAGAAATGTATTTTATGTCATGCTGTCCAAGCCTTTACATATTTACTCAGTAGTAGATCTCAATGAGTTTAATCAGGATTACTCCCAATAAAGATTGCAGCCCTCATTGATGGGGTTCTCATCTAAAGATCAAGAGGAGCCTGTCTCATAAATTTATATGTCTGGTTACCTGGGCAGCTTATTTTCTTTCTTTCACATGCTTGAGTCATCTGGAAACAGCAGGCTCTCTGGGAGGGAGAAACTGAAGGAAAGGAGGATGATTGAAGTGGAGGGCCGGGCTAGTCCAGGAAGGAACCAAGTAAGAATAATGTATACCTTCCTTTAGCGTCTTCATTCTGCCAGACCATTGATGTATTTCTCTTCCTACAGCCAAATCCAGAGATTCAGGGATATTTGTTTGACCGCATTGCAGAAAATTATTCCCGCATCCTACTGGGCTGTCACAAGGTTTCCAACCAGGAAAACATTCTAAAAGTGAGTGCGCAAAGATTTTTTTTAAAGGAATCATAGACTGAAAACAGGAAAGTAGTAATGAATAACCTGAAAATTAAAAGAGACGCTGCTTCAAGCCTGATACAGGGCTTTAGACTTCCTAAATACAGGAAGAATTTAAGTACATTTCAGTTAGAGTCCAAGGACCAAACTAAACTTTACATTTAACTCATGGCTGCCATGGTGGATTTGCAGTCAGATGGCAGCTGCAAGTTGGGAACTCACACAGCACTTCAGGGGACAGTTGGATTCAGGACTATGGCACGAGGGGATTTCAGCCTTCTGCCTGCATAATTTT